CATCAGCATCAGCATCAGCATCAGCATCAGCATCAACTTCATCGTCACCATCACCATCAGAATCACCATCCTCATCGTCACCACAACCACCACCACCACCATGTTCAACATCATCATCATCAGCAGCAGCATCATCATCAGCATCATCAGCATCAGAGCCAGTATCATTATATAAAAATCATCCGTATCATCATCATCATCATCATCATCATCATCATCATCATCATCATCATCATCATCATCATCATCATCCCCATCACCATCATCCCCATCACCATCATCAGCACTAGCACCAGCATCACCATCAGCATCAGCATCAGCGTCATCATCATCAGAATCATCATCCGCTTCAGCCTCGTCATCTCCCTTGTGTTCACGCCCTCGTCGCCTTCGTATTTGCCCTCCTCCTCCTGCGTGTGGTTCTTCTCATCTTCACCCTGAACCTCACTATTATCCTCGTCATCTCCCCCCCTTTCCTCCTCATCATCCTCTTCATCATCCTGAACCTCAATATCATAAGCGTCATCCCCCGCCATTTCCTCCACATCGCCCACTCCCTCTCCATCTGACTCTTCTTCATTGGAATCGTCATCCCCCTCCTCCTCTTCTTCTCCTTCCTCCTCCTCCTCCTCCTCATCATCATCATCGGCAGCAGCAGCATCATCATGATCGTCCCCCTCATCCTCACCCTCATCATCATCATCCTCATCATCCTCATCCTCATCCTCCTCATCCTCCTAATCATTATCAGCATCACCACCATCATCATCATCGTCATCACCATCACCATCACCATCACCATCACCATCACCATCACCATCATCATCATCATCATCATCATCATCATCATCATCATCATCATCATCATCATTATCACCATCACCATCACCATCATCATCAGCATCATCACAATCCCTATTGTCCTCCTTCGCCACCTCCTTCCTCCTCCTCCTCCTCCTTCTCCTCCTCCTCTTCCTCCTTCTCCATCACAGTTTCATCCCTGTCCTCAGCCCTCTCAGAATGAACGAGTCTAACAACTGCCGACGTTTCGGTCTCACTGGCCCTCGTCCTCTCCGAAGACACGGCGACGAGGCCCCGGAGATCCGACCTTGCGAAAGACAAGAAAAACAGCATCTCAATCAACCGCAACCGGAGCCCCGGACCCCGCCTGAATCGTCATCCCCCTCCTCCTCCTCTTCTTCTTCCTCGTCCTCCGCCTCCTCCTCCTCATCATCATATATGTTAATCAACCGTAACTGAGCCCCGGACCCCGCCTGTCTGCGGCATGTTTCGAGCGGGATCGACCTGTGATGGGCCTGGCGGCCGAAGCCGGGCGAGAGCGCCCGGCGGTGTAAAAAATGGAACGCCTGCTAACTCCGGGGCCGCCCGCGTGGGCCGACGCTGCACCCTGACTTCGGATCCGCTGTACTTTGGCTGGTTCCCCGACTTCAGAACGTGTCGGAAATGCACCCCAAAAGATGCGAATGAGCAGGGCGGAAATTTTCGCCTCAGAGAAGTGGGGCGGACATCTCCGCAAAAGTACGGCGGAACCAGCGACGGCAGAGTGGGGCGGAAATCGGCATCAAAGGAGCTTGAAAAGCAGGGCGGCTATTTCCACCCTGCTTGCGAAACTGCCCAAAATACAACAGATCGGAGGTCATGATTTGTTTCATAAAGTCGACCCCCAACAGTCTCGAACCATTCCCCGGGACCGCTCTTTCGTCCTGCGTCGTTTTGTTGACGGCCCCAGGGCCCGGTTCTGAGCACACCTCCTGGAAACCACAAAATGCTCTTGGAACACTCTTTCGTGGGCCTATAGGCAAGAACATACGTTTCGCCACTGCTCGACCCCCGACGACTTGTTTTTTCATGACGTGGCCACGGAACCCTCAGAAGTCTGGACCTCTTCCTGGGGACGGGCTTTTCATCCTAAGTCGCTTTGTTGACGGCACTGGGGCCCAGTCAAGGTCCCCGGAGGCGAAACTGGCAGAAACCGCCCGTCGCCATTCTTCCATGACCCGAGGGGCTCAGACATCCGGCTGCTCCAATGTTGTTCGATGCGTGGGCCCTAAATGTCTGGACCACTTCCGTATATAGGGCTGGTTTTGTCGTCCAGAATAACTGTTTGACGCTCCCGAGGCCTGGCGAGGGCCCCTGGAAACGAAAACGTCCAAAAACCGCCCGTCATGATTTGAGGTGAGGGGAAACCAAAAGGTACCAATACTGCTAACGCCTGGACCTCTCCTGGGGTGCGTTCTGCCCACGATTTCGAGGCGAATCCAACGGTGGCGACGGGGGCCTCCCAAGAGACAAAAACAAAAATAAAAACGAGGGAATGGTAGCGGCATGGATACCTTTTCCTCCTCTGAAGTCTAGGAGCCAAGCGAAATCCGGACCCCCAACGTCGTGATATCTGTCATGACGTGACCCTCAGAAGTCCGGGCCTTTTTCTGGGGAACAGCTTTTCATCCCGAGTCGTTTTCTTACGGTCCCGAGCCCC